GTATGGTATGTATGTGTGTGTGTGTGTGTGTGTATATATATATATATATATATATATATATATATAAGCACTTAAACTCTATATGGAATGTCATGTGGTTACTTGCAATATTTATAAGCTGTGCTAACAGTATCTGTTCCTTGTTTGTTTGTTGTGGTTTAGGCCTATTTTGTGTTGGTGTCTTTAAAATCTAATATAAAATGGAAGATTACTATGAAACTATGAAATGTAAAAAAAAAAATGTAGATGCATCAATACGCTATTATTGCACACAGCAACCCCCACACGGCCATTGTGTAAAAGCTGTTCTCAGTTCTCGCGCGTCGCGTGTATTAATCGCGCCGCGTCGCTCGCGGTGTAGATCGATTTTAGGCAGGGTTGTAAATTCAAATGTGTGTTCCTCGCTTTGAAGCCGTTCAGAAGGGTGGGGTTGCTCGATTGCGCCTGCTCGGTGTGGGCTGGAGTCTGGGGGTGTGTGCTGCCCCGATGGTTTAAATCCTACACATGCGTACTGGATTTCGGGGTTCAAGGGAATAGGCTACGCCATATTGGAAACACTGTATAGTTTAGCTAACAGTTTATTGCTAACGGGGGAAAAGGGCCACTAATTGATTCCCGTTGGTTGTGGCGTTTGGCACGTCGTTATTTTCCCTGACGTTTCGCGTAGCCCCGTTTACAGGCACGTTCTCGCGGTCCGGACTCAAACTTCTCCGCTGAACGGGGGGAACGGCGTTCGCTTGTTTGACAGCGCTGTTAGAAAGACGAGTTGAATGGATCCGAGGGTCGCTTGGATTCAGCCGGAACAGAAAGGTCCTGCGAACGCTTTATGGATGCGTGTGTGGGAGACGTCTCAGGTAAACCGGACTAACACCGGTCAGCACCAGAACCACCATCACCACAACTTCTGTGTCAATTCTCCGGCGTTTGACGTTTATAAGACTGTCGCGTCCAATGCGAATAACAGCACTAACATTAAAAACAACGGCACTGCGATCTCGAGCAGCGGCTCTGCGGCTCACGCGTTAAATGGAAACACGGGAGACGGCGAAATTACCCAAAAGACCGGCTTGGTGGCGGATCCCGCGTCCAGCTGCTCTAAAATAAGGACTACAAGCCCTAATATGATCGCTGGGAATATGAACAAGGGCCATCCGTTTTTTATTTGCAGCGAGAGCGTGCTGAATAATGTCAACCACCATCATCACCCTCCTCATCCTCATCTACGGCATTTCCATCAAGAGCAGCAGCAGAGTTGCATGAAGCGCCACCCGTCCCATCCGGCAGCGGTTCACAGCCACCATCACCACCACCATCATCCGGGCCGGAGGAAAAGCGACAACAAGGCCAGCACCTATGGGATAAACTACCTGCTCTCCAACTGGACTAACGGCAATTATGACAACTCCGGCACGCCGTGGAAGACGAGGAAATATAACCCAGGGGTTGACGGGTGAGATGAGCTTGATTTATAACAGCGGCGGTCGGGATGGGGCGTTATAACGTTACGCTGTCTTTCTGTGGCCTTTTCGTGTGTGATAAAGTGTCAGTGGGCCTTTTTTGTCGTGTTGGGCCGGGGAATTAGCTTTAGCACGTTAGCCGGGGTGTCCTGGGTTCGGTTCGGAGCCGCTGCGGTCTGTGGGTTGCGTCACTTGTGGAATGTGAGCGTCTGATTACAGTTTGTAGCGATTCCGATTCGTCAACGGTTCGATCTTTTGATTCGGATCTTTATATCAATGAATCTGTTGAACCGGTGTGTACGATTCATCCTCGAATCGTTTGGAGCGGTTTCCAGTCAACAACTCACGGACTCATTAAAACGAGAACCAAACATGTAAGTTAACGTAAATGAAAATTGTGACCCTGGACCACAAAACCAGTCATAAGGGTCGATTTATTATTTTTTTAGTTGATATGTATACATCATCTGAAAGCTGAATAAATAAGCTTTCCATTGATGTTTGTTAGGATTGGACAATATCTGGCTGAGATCCAACGATTTGTAAATCTGTAATCTGAGGGTGCAAAAAAAAAATATCAATGTTGAGAAAATTGGCTTTAAAGTTGTCCAAATGAAGTTCTTAGCAATGCATATTACTAATCAAAAATTAAGCTTTGATATATTTACGGTAGGAAATGTACAAAATGTCTTAATGGAACATGATCTTTACTTAATATCCTAATGTTTTTTGGCATAAAAGAAAAATCGATCATTTTGACCCATACGATGTATTGTTGGCGTTTGCTACAAATATACCCCTGCTACTTATGACTGCTTTTGTGCTCCAGGGTCACAATTTTGTTGAAGTGAATTACGATTAAGTGGCTAAATCAAAGCAGAAACCAGTTAAATTATGATATACAGTCTTCTTAACACTTGATAGAAAATAAATATATAATAGGCTTATTCAAATGTTCTAGTGTGGGTTCCGGAAGTAAAAAGCCTGTTCAGTTTCTTAAAGGGAAGTGATTTTTAGTGATGATAACTTATAAATCTTTAAAGACTGATCTATAGTCATCTTCCCTATCCTTTCATATAAAATCATATCATAGTTCATATATAAAACTATTGATTTAAACACTTGACTATGCATATAGAAATAATACATTATTCACTGCAAGATGTGCAGTTAAAGTTATTTATAATTTGCTGAATATTTTGCAGTGAACATAAAATGTGTTTTTTCTATATGTATAATCAGCTGTTTAAATCAATGGTTTTATATTTATCTTTTTAATTTGATTGTTATTCGAAATGCTTAATGGGATTGTAGTTCTTTCCCGCATTAAAGCTGTTAAGCACACAGTCTTGTTCAACTTCTCTGATTTTCAAATATTTTTCTGCTTCCAGTCAAAGTTTGTAATGTTTTGATTCCTCTCGTAGCTGGTTGGTTTGGTTCATGGTTTATATAACTTTTTATGACTTTTAAAAAAATCCCAATGGCAAAATGAGAGATGCTTCTGGAACCAAGGCAGCTGGAAGAGTGGTTGGGCATTAATGCGCTCTATATGCCACGCGGGGATGTCAGGGACCACGTGACGACAACTGATCAGTAAACCTGAACCTGTTCAAACCTGAGTGACTTCATTTTTAAATGAGTTTATAAATACAGCAACTGAGTTGTTGTTTGCTTATAGCTTTTAACTAACAGTTTTGTGTTACATTTGCTGTCATCGCCTGTCCATTAATGTTGGCTGTCAGCTAGATTCAGTTTTGGTGTTTTCTGATTTATGACTATAACACTAGACACATGCATGCTTAAGTCTTTAGTAACTCAGCAATTGTAGGCTTGTAAGAAGGGATGATTCTGTTGCATGAACTTGTTATATTTGCGGCGGATGGTTCCAGACCTCTGGAATTTTTCCACGAAAGAATCTGGAACCGAATGAGGCAGCGACTGTGTCCCAACACCTAGTGAGTGGCCCGTGGAGTCCTTGACAGCATTTCTGTCTCATACACTCATAGGTGCAAAATACTGTTTAAGTGTTTAAGATTGGTGGACTTTGGTTTTCTTGGTATTTCCAGGTCTTATTTCTAATTTTCTAGGGAAATGAATAAGAACTTTTAAGTCTGTAAGTTAGCTTAAAGTTTAATTGAGAGACACTGCTGTAGAACAGACTTAACTACAAGTCATAAGTATTTCATATGTGCATTTTTTTTCTATGAAATAAAAATGATTAAAAACAAAAATTTAATTAAAGTCTAATCAGCTCATCAATGATGTTACCAAATATTCACTATTTGGAGGACCAAATGTAAAGGTTGAATAATAATTTTTATAATACATCCATATAAATTTGCCAGCCACACTAAATATTGCATTTTTTGCCATTCTGTTGATCATGTTTCTCTGTATGGTTATATTTTTCATAGGGTTTCCATGCATAATGTTTTTTTTCAGACTTGGAATTTCTTAATGGTGATTTTTACTTCATTGTATTGCAATCTGGAGTATCTTTTCCATGTTTCAAGCATTAAATACTTCCAGCAGTTGATTTTATCCATAGGGAATTGATTGGATTGTGAAATGTGGATGTTTTTATACCAGAAGGGAGCCAGATCGGCTATTGGTTAGCATTTAACCAGTCAAGTTATTTGTCCTGTGTCCCAAGTGTATTTACTGTACAGGTTGTTAATGTTTTTTTTTTTTTTTTCTTTTACATTTTTAAAGCCAATGTTAAGATTCTTGCTTTGACTCGTTGTGAAGGATATGCAACAATGACCTCTTAAATTGCACCAATGGCCTTTCCATTATAATCTTTTCTCATTTCTTCCAAGGTTGCATGAAGAAATCATGGACTTCTACAATTTCATGTCTCCTCGTCCCGAGGAGACCACCATGAGACAGGAGGTGGTGGACAGGATAGAGTCGGTCATCAAGGAGTTGTGGCCAACCGCTGAAGTAAGCCAGATTAAGAGTTGATGTCTTTGAAATTGAGCTATTAGCATTATAAATGAAAGTCAAAAATTCAAATGGATTTTTTTTTTTATTTGTATGTACTCAGGTCCAGATTTTTGGCAGCTTTAGCACTGGACTCTTTCTCCCAACCAGGTAAATGAATGCGTGTTTGATCTTGCACATTAAGTGACAACACAACAGTGAGATTTCGAACAGGACCGTTAGCAGATCTCAACATACGTAATGTGGCTCTCATGATCTGTTGTTGCTGTCATAACACTATTCACAGTTCGATGACTCTCGCAGACTGGTGGGATCGGAGCACGTGCTTCATCATTGTCACAACCATAGCCTGCTAGCCTTTTTTTGGCTCTGAGCTGTCTTTCAATAACTAAACTGACATTTTATGATCAATTGCAGTTTAACTCCAGATGTGAGGATGGCACAAATAGGGCTGGGCGATATAGCTAAAAAATGTATCAACGATATAATGTTTCATATCGTTCGGTATCCATAATTATTGACATTTTTTATAACCTTTTTTAAAACAAAGAGCAACAGAAAAAAATGTTTAAATTAAACCACTTTATTTTTAAATTAACACAATTTGAGACAAACAACAAATATTTTTAGTTTTAACAATCAAACACAAAACAAAAATTAAACCAATATCTAATTTCTTATGTTTTATATGCAGATTAAATAGGTCTTAAAGAAACTTTTGTCTTGTCTCCCGAGGCCACAGGAGGGCGCAGTTAGCAAACTAATGCAGCGCATTTAAATTGTCAATGCAAGGAATTAACTCTATTAAATAAAAAAAACGTGCATTGTCTAAATTAACTCATAAAAATCAAATATAATTTAGTAAATTGCATAAACAATTATGAACAAAACGGCATCATGTATTTATGCATTGCTTAATCCAAAGAGCCGAAGCGCCATTCACACAGACTGCATTTAAAAACATATGAGACGCAGTGAAAAGGAATAAACCTCCACAAATTCGTGACGTGTTTTCTAAA